GTTTTATGGGGGTAATAATATGTGACTTAGTCCTCGTGTTAATAATATAATAATGATGAGGTAGATTCAGTGTCTTATTTATTTATATCGATATATATTGTAAAGAAGATCTCCTAGATATAACAAAATAGATATATCAAGATTTATCAGATACAGCATAGTATATCTGTTGAAGAAAATTATATAAGTTATAACGAGATAGGTCAGATATAACGAAATATATATCAAAATAAAGAAATGTATCAAATATATGAAAATGTTTTAGCCATAATTCAGCATTATAATTTACTGAGGAAATTATATACCCCAGTCATGAAATAGATTTTGTGAATATATCTTTTATTTTATTTTGTATATAATTTTATAAATATTTATATATCATTTATAAATTTTGTCACTATATTTTCCTTCACTGATTGGTTACATTATTTATATCTTATTTTTTATTTTTTTGTTAGCATAGTGATGGCGCTGAAATGGGTTCGATGAATTACGAAATTATCAATATGACTCCTGTGTCTCGGTATGTATGTATGTATGTATGTATGTATGTATGTATGTATGTATGTATGTGTGTATGTATAGACGTTCTAAACACCAAGAGGATTATATGACTTGTTAACTTATTCAGGGGTAAAACATTTGAACGTCGTAAAACAGATTCTTTGCTGCCATTAAGCCAACTTGGATAACTAACTTCTGGTTGTAAAAAAGTCTTACAATTTACATTTTGTTATTAGTAAATAGGAATTACTACACAAGAGCTCCATCTGACGAAATTACACGAACAAGTATGTAAATTATATTCCATTGGCTTTACCTTCCTTTAGTCTCACAGTAACTCGGAGCACAAGTGAAGCTTCATACTAATGGCTCTTGTATTCTGAAACCTTCATACAATATCAGTCGTTAAGTGAAGCCTTTACTCTCTGTTCCCATAATAGGGGTTTCCGGACAGTCTCACTCGATGCGTTGTAACTATAGGTCAATTTAAGTTAATTTGTTAAGTTAAGGCACATAAGGTTAGCTTTAGTCAAGGTAGGTTAAGTTAAGCTTTGGGAGGCTATAGATTAACCTGAGGTCTATCAACACGCGGGCTATAATATTTAACCTGTAGCCGAAAATTTCTACCTGGTGTTAGGAGGCGATACATCATCTGGGTAATACCTGGATTGGTGTACTCATAACCCGTCATGCCTCACTTAACAATTTCACGGAATGTGTCGTAAAAGGATAGAGGTTTTTTTTTTCCATTGTGCTCAGGGACTTTTGGCTGTTTAAAAAAAATGCATATTGGTGAAGTGAGCAGTTTAGTGTGTGTGTGTGTGTGTGTGTGTGTGTGTGTGTGTGTGTGTGTGTGTGTGTGTGTGTGTATTCATGAGCCTGTATGAGTCTACTACTGGTTGATAAAAGCGTCCCTCTCCTATCATTACAGAATCATCCATCTCAAGACGCCACTGTTCATTAAACTCCTCCAACCAGACTTCCTAATACCATCTCTCCATTTGATTGTTGGTTTAATTTTAGTCATTTCCTCTCTTGTTGCAGCGAGTTGATGATCTTCTTCTTATTCCATTAATGATCTGTTCCTCTTGCAACATGACCCGTCTATTACCACCCCCTCCTCATAATACCTGAGACACTCATTTCTTATCTTCTCTCTCCCCTCTTATGTCTATCTACCATCTTCCTATGTTTATTTGAGCAGTTTCCAGTTACAATGTTAATTTTGCAATCCGTCGCCAAGTTCCACAGACACAGTAAGTTTACATTGTATTACGACTCACTGGTCAATTTGTTATCCTCTTCAGATAAACCGGGATGTTATTTCTGTATATGTTATGATTCACTGTTGCAATATGTCTCTGGCCCAAGTTGTTGATTCTTCGTTCAGCTTTTCTAATCTGATTCCCATTAGTTGATGTCACCTCTTTAGTCTCTACAGTGAGCGCCATTGATACATAAAACCATTTCCCTCCCTTGGTGAGTGTCTTCAGGGACCTCCTTCATATATTACTTTGGAAAATGACGTCGGCTTGCCGCAGTTCCTGTTGAAAATGCTCCTTATGTTATCTTGTTTTAACCTGATCGTAAAATTAACGTACGCTACACACGCTCCAAAAAAGTATCTTTACGGTTTTGCGTTAGACAGTTAGATAATATGACACAACGGGCGAAGAATTTTGACAATCCTACCGAGACAACAGGAGTCGTAGTGTTCATTTTGAAATCCATCGGACCCCTCCCTAAAAGACACTTTTTTTGGAGTGTGTGTTACTAATGTTGTTAAAAAAAAATCTTTAATTATGTGGCTTCTGAAAAGGAATTTAAGTAGATGTTATTCTTACAGTTTCTTCACAATACAAACGTGATAAGACGCAATTAGAAAGTAAATACCGGATTCCTCTCTCAAGATGTTAAGATTTGTTGGATTGGTGACGATAAAGGGACACACACACACACACACACACACACACACACACACACACACACACACACACGGACAACTGGTAATGATGGGGAAGTAAAAGGAAAATACGACCTCAAAATCTTTAGAAATTGTTTGAGGAAAAGTCGCCTGAAGAACTTAAAAATAAAATCAGGATTGAAGAGTCACAAGATAACCAAAACCTCATGAGAGAGAAATTAAGAAAAATATGACTGACTATGAAAAGAAAATTCCTTCGGATATTTTCGATATTTCTAGGAAGTCAAAGGAGAATAGATTAGAAATAAAGTATACTATAGAAGGTATGATAAATCCGGATAATAAAATGAATAAAATACGTTCAGATAATAAATGGAGGAAACTTGTCTTAAGAAACTTTTAGGCTCGTCGGGTTGAAGACAGCCAAGACAAGATGGAGTCGAGGAGGAAATTAGAGGGATGAGACATATATTAAAAGGTAAATAAACCTGGATTACAGAGTGAAAATAATATCTAACAATAAAGTGAAGAAGACCATAAGTAAATAATTAAGTAACTAGAGGGGACATGACCAATAAAATATAATTGGTTATGGAAGGTAAAGAAACTCGTTGGATAATGGCGGGAATAAAATGTATTTAATAAGTAAATAAAGGAAAGTTTTCTTGAAAGCTTTAAGAATTGTCGGGATGGTGGTGGCCAAGACAGACTGGGGCCGAGTGGGGTCACCTCCCGTCACTGCTAAGATCACCTATCAACTTTCAGCGGCGTGAGTGGACGTCACGACCTCAACTCAAACCAAAAGGCGAGTCTCAGCCACTCCTTCCTATACCCTCCTTCCTTCCCCTTTTTCATTCGTGTATTGTTGCAAAGTTTCTGACTCCCTGGTCCTTTCCCTTCACCCATCCCGTTTTTCATTCGTGCACTGTTGCAAAGTTTCTGACTATGCGAACGGGCTTCCCCTTTCCATTTTTCATTCAGGATTGTTGCACTGTTCCAGCCTCTGTGAAACTCCCTCCCCCTCCTCCCTCCCGTCCCCCCCTTCACCCTTCGTATATTTTTGAAAATTTTCAGGGCTTAGTGACCCCTCCCTGCCTCACCCTGGATTACGAATCAGGAACAGGAAATAGTAGCAAATAGTTTAGAGAAGATAAGTTCTGTTCTGTGAGTTTGGTGTTGAGTAACTAGTGAGAATGAACTTGAGTCTGTGATTAAGAAATGATTCGGCAAAAGGTGAAAATTGTTTGATTAATGGTAAGAAATTTGTATTTGTAGATGGGAAAAAATTTAGATCAAGGTGTGAATATTTTTTTTACTAATTAACAGGTGAGAAATGACTTGCTAGACATTAATAAAATGTTTTGATCAGAGAAGAGAAATTCCTTGCTTGCTTAAAGGTGAGAAAAAACACGATTGAAAGGGAGATATTTCTTAGTTAAACTGAAAAATTGTTTGGCTTAAACTGAGAATCTGATTGAGAGTGAGAGATAATTTCCTTGTAGGTGAGAAACTGATTGGTCAAAAATGAGAAATTATTTGGTTAATGTTGAGAAAAATTCCCTTTTAAAGATGATATATTTCGTGGTTAAAGTGAGAGATTTTTTTTTTGGGTGGGGTGGGGGGGGGGGGGGGGGGGGGGGGGGTGGGGAGAGGGTGGGGGTGGGGTTAGACATGAGAAACTGGGTGATTAAGAGCGAGAAATTACTTTGGTTACAGGTAAGAAATTATTTGGGTGAAGGTGAGAGATTACATGGTTAAAATTGAGAAATTATTTGGTTGAATGAGTTAATAGTTTGCTTAAAGTTTGTTCAGGAAATTGGTTGAGGATAAAATTAAACGAGTCACTATATGAGAGGGAGTGTTGGAGTGTTGGAGTGTTGGAGAGTTACAAGAGAGGGAGGGAGTGTTGGAGTGTTGGAGAGTTACATGAGAGGGAGGGAGTGTTGGAGTGTTGGAGAGTTACAAGAGAGGGAGGGAGTGTTGGAGTGTTGAAGAGTTGGAGAGTTACATGAGAGGGAGGGAGTGTTGGAGTGTTGGAGAGTTACAAGAGAGAGTGTTGGAGGTTGAGAGTTACAGAGAGGGAGGGAGGTTGGAGTGTTGAGGAGTTACAAGAGAGAGGGAGGGAGGTTGGAGTGTTGGAGAGTTGCCAAGAGAGGAGGGAGTGTTGGAGGCAAGTTGAGAGCCAAGCAAGAGAGGGAGGGAGTGTTGGAGTGTTGAAGAGTTGGAGAGTTACATGAGAGGGAGGGAGTGTTGGAGTGTTGGAGAGTTACAAGAGAGGGAGTAATGGAGGAGTTACAAAGGAGTGTTGGAGGAGTTACATAAGAGTGTTGGAGGAGTTACATGACAGGGAGGGAGTGTTGGTGAGTTAATTGAGAGGAAGTGTTGGAAGAAGAAGAAGAAGAAGAAGAAGAAGAAGAAGAAGAAGAAGAAGAAGAAGAAAGAAGAAGAGCTCATGACTTCATCCAGTATTCTCTCGAGTCTTAAAAAGGAAGAAACTTTTCATAAGCTCGTAAAGAAAGTTGATGACGATCAGGTAAAATTCTTGCTCATAATTCTTAAAGATGGATGTACCTCAGTTGCTCCATTTTAGGAAAAGCCGAAAAACAGGTGTGACTTGTTCCTGTTGGCTGGCCTGTTGGTGCTGGCTCTTGTTCCTGTTGGCTAGCCTGTTGGTGCTGGCTCTTGATCCTGTTGGCTGGCCTGTTGGTGCTGGCTCTTGTTCCTGTTGGCTGGCCTGTTGGTGCTGGCTCTTGTTCCTGTTGGCTGGCCTGTTGGTGCTGGCTCTTGTTCCTAAGCTGGCTGGCCTGGTGCTGGCTCTTGTTCCTGTTGGCTGGCCTGTTGGTGCTGGCTCTTGAGATCCTGCTGGCTGTCCTGTTGGTGCTGGCTCTGTTCCTGCTGGCTGGCCTAAAGAAAGGGTTTCTGTCTCTGTTGGCTGTCCTGTTGGTGCTGGCTCTTGTTCCTGTTGGCTGGCCTGTTGGTGCTGGCTCTTGTTCCCTGTTGGCTGCCTGTTGCGCTGGCTCTTGTTCCTGTTGGCTAGCCTGTTGGTGCTGGCTCTTGTTCCTGCTGGCTGGCCTGTTGGTGCTGGCTCAGTTCTGCTGGCTGGCCTGTTGGGTGCTGGCTCTGATCCTGTTGGCTGGGCCTGTTGGTGCTGGCTCTGTTCCTGCTGGCTGGCCTGTTGGTGCTGGCTCTGTTCCTGTTGGCTGGCCTGTTGGTGCTGGCTCTTGTCTCTGCTGGCTGGCCTGTTGGTGCTGGCTCTGTTCCTGTTGGCTGGCCTGTTGGTGCTGGCTCTTGATCCTGTTGGCTGGCCTGTTGGTGCTGGCTCTTGTTCCTGTTGGCTGGCCTGTTGGTGCTGGCTCTTGTTCCTGTTGGCTGGCCTGTTGGTGCTGGCTCTTGTTCCTGTTGGCTGGCCTGTTGGTGCTGGCTCTTGTTCCTGTTGATGTCGATCTTGTGTTTATGCACATGCGTGTGTGTGTGTGTGTGTGTTTGTGTGAGTTTAAATGTTGGTGTTTGTTTGTATGTGTATGTTTGCTTGTTTTTTCCCTTCACTGTGTTTGTATGACGATCACCCATATCATCCACTTCAACCATCTCATCCTCCTACCCCCTTCCTCCTTCACAGCCAGCCAGCCATCCTCACCTCACCCACACACCCCACCCACTTACTCCACCTTGCCACAGGACCAGCAAGAATTTAATAGATGCCCACTAAGGTTATTTATCGCGTTCATCTACGTTATGCATGAACCTTTAATAACCTTTATAGCATCAAATTATCTTCACGGGTACGTAACTCATCGTCCAGATCAATAGTTACGGTATAAAACTATCCTATGGTCTAATCTTTACACAGCGGTTTTAACATATCATGGACCAAGGGTTATTTATATCATGGGCAGATGTTTCTGTCTCTCTTTCTCTATCTCTTGTTTTCTCTGTGTTTGTTACTCTCTCTCTCTCTCTCTCTCTCTCTCTCTCTCTCTCTCTCTCTCTCTCTCTCTCTCTCTCTCTCTCTCTCTCTCTCTCTCTCTCTCTCTCTCTTCTGTTTGCCCCTGCTTCTATTTCCCATGTCTCTTTTTTCTATCTTCTCTCTCTCTCTCTCATATGAATTACATCAGTTAACACCGGATTCTCACATTCCTTACCCAACACACAGAGACATAACCAGACCTGTCAGATACTACAGTGAATGATATAAATACTCATAAACAAACAAAGTCATTATAATGTAAGTTTGAAACACAAATGTCAATACTGTCCCCTGGAGGATTCGAACCTCTGCTCTGATAGTAAATGAGGGAAGTATCAGCTGCATCATAAAAAGCGGGAAGCTATTTGAATCTAACCTGGTACTTCTGGAACAAGAACTTTATCCTAAAACATCACTCTAGCAACAGTGTTGAGCTGTCTGGAGTTTAGATTAAATTCCTAGGCTGGCAGTATCAGGTCAGGTACAGTCTCACCCGAAAGTTCGTTAACTCTCCCAGCCAGCTATTGCTGCACTGCTTGCTTCAGATGTTTGAAACTGTCTCGGTACCAACCAGAACATGAAACCGATACGAATGAATCTAAAGGTTCGAAGTAACAGACTCAAGTTCATACATCTGAAGCAGGCAGTGCAGCAATAGCTGGCTGGGAGAGTTAACGAACTTTAGGGTGAGACTGTACAGTCGGCTACAAAGGTCCGGTAACCTTCCCTTGCCTTTGTAAACCGAAGCTGTCTCGACCCTTGTATCATTATACCGCCATCTGTGGTTTAGCTCCCAAACTACATCATAGATGGTTGATATGAGTCCTTTAGCTTTCCTCTCTGTGTTTGTTGCTGAATTTATGATTTGGTCAGTGTGTTGCTGACCAGTGTGAAGCCTTCACTCAACTGTCAAGGCAAACTTTTTTGGAGTGAGTGTTTGTGAACTCTTGGAGCAATCTGCCAGAGTTGTTGTGACGGCAGACTTGACCAACACTGGCACAGGTACAGATACATTGTGGTGCCATTACATGCCCAGTACTTGCTTCCACTGTTGTTGTTGGTGCTCCTACACTGTTGTTGATGCTGCTACACTGTTGTTGATGCTGCTACACTGTTGTTGATGCTACTACACTGTTGTTGGTGCTGCTACACTGTTGTTGGTGCTGTCCTGATCTACTCTGTTGGCAGTGGTAAGTACAGACATCTTTGTTGACATTATCATCACAATATAGATCCATTTATTAGACAGTTTGTAAGATGAAGGAAATGATAATGTGAGAGGGAGGAGATGAAGAGAAGGGGGGTGAGGGACCAGGAGGTATTTGAGCTATAATCTCGTCTTGGCCAACAAAAGTACAAAGGAAATGAGGGTAATTGTTAGGGAGACGGTCATCATCTTCGGTGGTAAAATTGCAGATTACAGCAACAAGAGAATCCGATAATTTTTTTTTCTGATGGTTTTTAATGCGATTGTTTCAAAGCTGATATTCGTTTTTATCGGAAATCACTCCCCCCTTCCCTTCCTTTAACAATAATGGGGGAGGGACGGTTCTGGGTGGGTGGGGGAGAGCCAAAACGAGTGATTTGTGGTAGAAGCGAATTCCAAAATTGTCCATAATCGCAACAAGATAACATTAGAAGAACACATTATGCAACAGAAAAAAATAGTGGACATAATTGTTCTATCGATTACGTGTTCTGAATTCCCGGTACTCTGTGCTTGGTAACTTATACAATATAACCAAACTAAACCTTACCTAACCCCCCTAGTGGCTGGCCTAGGGGCAACAGGTGCTGTGATCTTATTATTTTTAAAATTCAATAACTTCCTTATTATCGATTTGTGATGGAAGTGTAATACAAGAAAATAAACATAGAAAAAAATAGTTCTATCGATTGAGCGTCGAGAATTTCCGGAATTCTGTGGTTGGTGTTTACTGCAATATTACCTCTTGTCTCTGTCAGTTTCTTAGGAATTTTTATGATTTTTTTTTAGTTAAACTTATTTATATTTCATTGGCGTATATTTTGTTGTCCTTTTTCCCATCGCGGGTTGGGGGAAGGGGTTGATATCCCTGACTACCTGAAGACAACAGGTAATTAATCAGTGGCAAACAGTAAGATCCCATCAATTTAACACGAGGACAAAGATCGTCAGCTGTGAAGAACATTAAATAAGACACAAATGGACTTAATGAACTCACTTAATAAAGATTCACACCGATGCCTGCTTAATAAACGTAACAAATATGGCTTAATTAATTTAAAGTTCCAGATAGATTTCATGTTCCTTGAATGACACAAATAATGTAAATGAATTCTGAACTGATTGGCCACTTGAGATAAATAGTATTCCGTGTTACGTCCAGTCCTATTCGTCATAAATGTTAATGACTTTATCAGGAACAACTGCAGCTTCAAAAGGATCAAGACAGATGCTAGAAATTGTCAGTTATAATTTTGATTCGTTTTCATACGAATATGTGTGAGGTGAAGCCTCTTGGTGTTTACAGCTTGACAAGACGGGTCTCTTAAACCCTCTCCTTCCAGACAGATAAGTTTCCTTCCCCAGTCTCCCATCACGCTCCGGGCTTCACAATACACCCCTCAACTTCCGACCCCCAAGCACTCGTCAGTAACAGAGCTCATTACCAGTTCAGTCGTGTTGTCCTTCCCGATATATCTAGTGTGTTCACCCAGCGTGGAACTGTGAACAAGTGAACGATAATTACTGAAACATATAGTTGAAAATTTCGCATATAGTGAATGAAGCTTCGGTCAAACGCTGCATAGGTTATCACATCTCTGACCTTGCACCCATTGCACAGGCGGAGCTCGTCGCATTGCAAACCTCAATTAATAAACCAGCACAAGCACTCCAGTCTACAAAAAAAAATTACCCTCCCCGTATAAGGACAAAATAGGGTGGTTCTTAACGAGTCGAATCTTTAATGAGTGAGCGAGGATGCATGAATTTTGAGTACAGGTTTAATGGCCATCAATTTGGATATTGTTGGTTCCTTATTAACTCACCGGCAAGTAGTTATGTACAATTAGTTTCTCTCGTAACTTGGTCAGTGAGCCCATAACTTAGGTGGATTTATCAGGTATTCTTCCCCTCCACTGAGCACTGTAGGATGGGGATTACTGGGAGTTCCTGTATCCTAGCATGGAGATTACTGGGTGTTCCTGGATCCTAGCATGGGGGATTACTGGGAGTTCCTGTATCCTAGCATGGGAGATTACTGGGTGTTCCTGGATCCTAGCATGGGAGATTACTGGGTGTTCCTGGATCCTAGCATGGAGATTACTGGGTGTTCCTGGATCCCAGCATGGAGATTACTGGGTGTTCCTGGATCCTAGCATGGAGATTACTGGGTGTTCCTGGATCCTAGCATGGAGATTACTGGGTGTTCCTGGATCCTAGCATGGAGATTACTGGGTGTTCCTGGATCCTAGCATGGAGATTACTGGGTGTTCCTGGATCCTAGCATGGGAGATTACTGGGTGTTCCATCTGTTACTCTATCCATCTATCTACCTATCTATCTCCATCTATCTATTCATATATCTATCTATCCATCTATCTATCTACCTTTCCATCTATCTATCTACCTATCCATCTATATATTCATCTATCTATCTATCCATCTATCCATCTATCTATCTCTCCATCTCTCCACCCATCTACATGCAGCGCTCCCCCAAATCCCGTAATTACATATTCTTACCTGGATAATGGCCAGGTATTTGATCTCTTCCTATCTCTTGGAATCCAGTTGAGGATCTCCTTCAGCCGCGATATTAGCATAAGTATGAGTAAGTGTATGAGTGTCTGAGGAAGTCTGTGAGTGTCTGAGGAAGTCTGTGAGTGTCTGAGGAAGTCTGTGAGTGTCTGAGGAAGTCTATGAGTGTCTGAGGATGTCTATGAGTAAGTGTATGAGTATGTGTAAGTATGAGTAAGTATGAGTAATATGAGTTAGTATGAGTAAGTAACAAATCCAAGCATGTAAATAATGACCCAACACACACAACACGACAATATTGCCATCACTCCCGTCACTCAGTATTGCACAACCGGAGATCGTGATGCAGTGTACAGTATGGCATAGTTTGAACAGGTATTCTCGTCAGTATTCCCCCCCCATTCCCCCTTCTTCCCTTCCCGTTGATGAAGCGATACATAGGACAAGGCATAATACTTTCCCTCTCACTGTTCTAAAAGATGAAAATCAGCCCCCTGACATTTTCCCCACATCTCGTATCAACACCATGGAACATCATCACGTTTGAGAAATGTCTTACTCGGTGGAATATTTGTATTTTTTTTTTTTACTTGATTTTAGCTCAGTCTTGAAAGCAAATATTATACCCAAAATTTTAACTATTTTTGTGGTACTTTGGTTTTGAATTTATGAGATTTTAAAATTGATTTGAAAATTAGATCCAACACATTTTGTTTTTGTTTTGGTGTAACTTTGAGAGTACATTTGATTGATTGAGTGATGATTTTCTAGCTTACTTTGTACTGGTTTCTTTGCTTTATAGCTTTCTTAGAGAGAGTGTTTATAATCGTACAAGTTCACACGAATATTACTGATGAAAAAAAAGAAGCAATTGCACCACTAAACTGTTGACGTAAATAAGGCAATTCCCGCCAAGAGTCGCTGAAATAAGATGCCCGAGCCTCTAGTATCAAGCTTAATAAACATCACGTAAAATCAACCAGAAATTATCCGCGTTTACGAAGGCAAAAAAAAAAAATGTTGGAATGATTATCTTCCCGTGAAGTTTATAAGGTGATTATTTTTCGTAGTATGAACAAGGATGAGGCTTCTATGTCTCCTTGCTGAACCAACTTAATCTAAGGTAGAATTATTTTCCTTAACTTATACGTAAATTTCTAAAGTAGTATTGGTAAGATTATGATTTTTTGTTGTTGAATTAGTCATAAAATCAAAGTGTCCAGGGAACAAAAATAGAGGGTTTATACTGAGCAATGTATGAACGACTGGAGAATGTATTGTGTATCCTGGAAAAAGAAAAAATTCACATTGGTACAAAAACACTTCACGGTCGTATGTTTCTCACGCTGTACAACTACTAGTGGGTTATACGGCTGACAGACTAGTACTACCTGACACACACACACACACACACACACACATCTGCATATTAGAGGAACTGTGATGGAAAAGTAGAAGGGGAGGTGTTGTGAGGGGGAGATGTTGTAGGGGGAGGTGTTGTAGGTGGGAGGTGTTGTAGGTGGGAGGTGTTGTAGGTGGGAGGTGTTGTAGGGGAGATGTTGTAGGGGGTGTTGTGAGGAGGTGTGTAAGGGGAGGTGTTGTAGGGGTGTGTTGTGAGGGGAGGTGTTGTAAGGGGAGGTGTTGTAGGGGTGTGTTGTGAGGGGAGGTGTTGTAAGGGGAGGTGTTGTAGGGGTGTGTTGTGAGGGGAGGTGTTGTAAGGGGAGGTGTTGTAGGGGTGTGTTGTGAGGAGTGTGGGGGTGCGTGGCCTATAACTTAATAACACCACCATGTGTAATAACCGTAGGAGGTGGAGGTGCAGGGAGGAAGAGGAGGAGAAGGAGGTGCAGGGAGAAAGAGATGGAAGAGGTGGAGGTGCAAATAGGAAGAGGAGGAAAAAGAGTAAACCAAAAATAATCAATTGGTTATCCCACCACAGCGTCACCATTTAACCTAACCTAACCTAACCTAACCTAACCTAACCTAACCTAACCTAACCTAACCTCACCTCACCTCACCCTAACACGTTCCTGACCATAGTCTTGAAATTTACGAAGACGATGGTTGAAATTTATAGCTTTGAGGATTAATTATAACACAGGTATACATTTACATCCATAAGGTATTAATTTACCGGTGTGTTTATGGAGGTCAGTGAAATATAGGTAGAGAAAAATATTGGTAATGGAGGGGGTTTATAGTAAAGCCATTTTCTCTATCTATCTATCTATCTATCTATCTATCTATCTATCTATCTATCTATCTATCTATCTGTCTATCTATCTATCTATCTATCTATCTATCTATCTATCTATCTATCTATCTATCTATCTATCTATCTGTCTGTCTGTCTGTCTGTCTGTCTGTCTGTTTACTTTCTTCTTCCACCTCTCTCTCTCTCCACTGTGCCAGGTCAGCAGATAATTTCCGATTCTCCACGGACGAGTGTTATGCCTGTATCTCATCCCAGTCTTCGGAAACTCCTCATTTTTTTTTATTACTCACTAACAGGAGGGAATAAATGTTAGAGCCGCTACATCGTCAGTAGAAGTAAAAAGCCTTTAAGAATGTGTCCAGGAACAAATGACAGTTACGAGTCTTTCCACAGTAGGGGTTATCGTCAGGAGCTGTGTGTTGGGTTTACAAGACGTGTGGGTTAAATGCTTGGTCTTATGGATAGAGATGCAGTATTAGTTTAGCCTTTTGGGTCCTGGATGGGTTAAATGCTTGGTCTTATGGATAGAGATGTAGTATTAGTTCAGCCTAGCTTATTTCACCAAACCTAACCTAAACCTTATCCCCCAAATAGTGTTAATATGTGAGCGTGTATGCATATGTGTGTATTATGTGAGTATGTGTTGATAAGTGAGAGTGTATGGATATGTGTATATTATGTGTGTGTGTGTGTGTGTGTGTGTGTGTGTGTGTGTGTGTGTGTGTGTGTGTGTGTGTGTGTGTGTGTGGGTGTAGATGTAAAAATCCCCAACCTCCTCCAGATACATACAAACTTGATCCCGTGTTCGTCCTTCTCACACAAGACCAAATGTCAAAGACCCACCACTGTCATGTTCTCTTGACTAAAACACCATCTTTTCCTGGACAGCTAAAGGTCACCTCCCCCGGTTCTTTCCCCCTTACATGGCAGCCTCTTGTGTGCCGTTGTAGCCTTGTATCATAGACTAAATTTCGTATCTTAAATATCAAAAGTTCATTATCAAAATAAGAAAGATTATATTTCGGTTGGTTGGCATCTGCGAAGAATTTTGTATGGTAGATACAGTCCCTTTAGAGCTGTAGTACTAAGTTAAGATCTTTAGAATATCAATACCATAATGTTTTTTTCCTTTGAATCTAAGTAACTTTGGGGGTATTTGATGTGATACGGAAAATATTATGAGCTTTTAAACTAACACTTCATCGTTCATTCTAACACTTGAGAGGAGCACCACCACTCTCTTCGACTCTCCACGTTCAAATTATTTATTCTCTCTCTGATGCGCGTCTCTAAGTACCAGTTTGCACTTTTGTAAGGTATATAATCGAGAGATATAATAGCTGATATATAATTCGTAATGGGTGGTTGTGAGACAATTGCTGAGGCGAACCAGTTGATGAGGGATAAGGCATCCGTGGTTTGCTTCGATCGACCCTCTCAACGAAGCGGCTTCAGACACAATGAACCTCCCTAGCTTCACTTAGGTCTCGGAGCTCTGATTTATATTTGGTTCAGGTTTGTGTTCGGATTTTACTGAGTTTTCTGGAGGATAATATTATGCAAAGTTTGGTAAAGTTTGTTCATATAATATATAATATACTGTATATTCATGTCAGAGTGTATAGATGTTTCATTGTCAATTTATATTCAATGTGTTGTCATATATTTGAATGTTTGTATCACTATTGACATTAATTAAAGTCCTGTAGGCATCATAATACAAAGTAAGAATCTGATTATAAAAAAAAAGTGTGGAGAGGAAGGAGGCGACTATGGTCAAGAGGCGATGATAATGAGTACAGTCAGCCACAACAGACCGGTAACCTCCCCAAGTCTTGTGGTGGACGGACTTACGAACCGCTGTTAACTTACCAACTTAATATCACGATTGCTGTAGACTTAGGTACTAATCCTCTGCCATGACCTCCAGACTAATGCGAAACTATCCCTAGATACTGCCCGCTAAAAAAAGGACAGTCCCTAGATACTCCCCGCCAGAGAAGCGGTTGTCTCTTAAAAGCTCTTAACCGCTCCAGGCGAGGTACATCCGTCCGTCAATCATCCACCACCAGGTATATTGATTCCCCTGGCCGGAGCAACAAACTTCCCCTCCGTCATTCTTTGGGTCAC